ATTAATACTAGCTTAATTTTTTTTTTTTTTTTATTAATATAATTCTATAAAAATTGATATTCATATTCATAATACATTTTTTTTTTTTTTTTAATTTGTAGATTTTTGAAATATTAGAAGAATATAAATGTTAAAATTTTTTTTTTTTTTTTGAAAAATTAGACTTATTTTTTATTCAACTTATGCTCCTCACATGTTGTTTTAATTTATCTTTAAGTGATATGTAGAATTAATCATGTTAAGTCTTCAATATGTATTTTTTTTTTTTTTTTATAGAAACCATGGTATGATTTTAAAGTAGAGATGGTGGTTCAGAATATTATAATTTTCACTTTTCTGTAATCATTTTTCCAGAATATATACATTGTTTTTATTGTTTTTTTTTTTTTTTTTGAAATGAAAGAATTTCCCCCATGTAACCTTTTTTTGTTATGTTTTTTTTTTTTTTTTTTTGTGTCAATCATTTGTTGAAAAATTAGGTTTGAAATATTATAATTTTTTTTTTTTTTTTTTGAACTCTGTCTCTAGAGATATGTTTGTTGACTCAGCCATTCAAGAAAATGGGACTTTCTATCTAAAATATTTTTAAGTTTCTAAAGGCCTCAGAGACTCTATATTTTTTTTTTTTTTTTTGAATGTGAAATACTCTCTATTTTCCTCAGAAAGATAATGGCAGTTGCTAGAGTGAACTCCATCAATAATTTGCAATATTCAGTGATCAAAATAATGCTTATTTTTTTTTTTTTTTTTTTTCACTACAACTACTATTTCATTGATTTCTCCAATTACTATTATCTTTTTTTTTTTTTTTTAGTTTTCTCATCAAAGTCTTCTGAATGATATAAGTGTTGTCTTATTTTTTTTTTTTTTTTACTTCCCTAAAGATTTCTTCAATGAGGAGGAAATACTGATATTCTTTTTTTTTTTTTTTTCACTCTACCCAATTGACTGAAAAATGATTGTAATAATTATACATTTTTTTTTTTTTTTTTAAGTGTGTGTGTGTGCATGTGTACACATGTTACTACATGTGTAATTTTTTTTTTTTTTTTTTTATTTACAAATTTTTGTCAAAGTAGCTGCCTGGAGAAAGGATAAAACAGACAAAAAACAACAGAATAAAATATATGGTGAGGTTATTACCAAAGAAAAAAATTTTTTTTTTTTTTTTTCTGTAAGATTAGTGTTCTCTTCATGATCATGTGAACTTTTAGATTTTTTTTTTTTTTTTTTTTTCAATAGAAGTGTTTAAGAATAATACAAATAAATAGAATTTTTTTTTTTTTTTTTTTATTTTCCAGTGAACTTACTTAGTTGTCTCAGTTATCATACATGTATGATCTTTTGGTTGATACTCATTTATCAGTATCTCTTAACATTCTTTCACAATTCCATCTTTTTTTTTTTTTTTTATCCTCTGTGTTAAATAATTTTCCATTAATATAGCTCGAATACATTTCTGGAAGCTTACATTCTAATGTGAGTGATGCCCATTTATGAGATCAGTTTAGGTTTCTTTTTTTTTTTTTTTTAAAGCAGATTTCAGTATGAATATAGCAATTTAATACCTAATCCCTTTTTTTTTTTTTTTTTCAGACATATGGTGAAGGCACAGGGGCATGACTCTGCTGTTTAGCTACATTGCATGAAATTGTCTTGCCATTTTTTAGATATAAGGAGTCAAGATATATATGTGTTTTTTTTTTTTTTTTTAGTGAAACAACTGATTTTTGTGTTTGCCTACATAGGAACACCATTTTTTTTTTTTTTTTATTGATAGCCTTTACATTATTTTATATGTCTTTGTATCGCTACTTTTTTTTTTTTTTTTTGGGACAGAGGTGAAGCATGGCAAACATTTGTTGAACTACAGGACTCTATGATTAAACAACAATAAATGAAGTATAAGATATTCCAAACTATGGGTTGTTAAATATTTTTTTTTTTTTTTTCATTGATACTGATTTGATCTCACTTGGATTCATGTTTCAATATTTCAGTTTCTTTACATGTAACAACAATTCCACATTGAAAAAAATGATTGCTGGGTTTTACATTTTTTTTTTTTTTTTTCCAAATGTTTTTTATTTACTTTCTTGCTCTAGTAAATAGCATCTAACAAAAAGAATTTTGACATTTTTTAGTGGATCAAAATATAACAATGATTCAGTCTTCATTTTTTTTTTTTTTTTTATCTTTTACAGTTAGATAACAAAATCAGAAATAATAAGATTGTTTTTTTTTTTTTTTTTATTTAATATTGTTATTTTAGCAAATGTCTGACATTTAAAATAGTTTTTTTTTTTTTTTTTTCTAAAAGTTTCATTTCTACTCTATAAAATTTAATTAGTAGGTATTTTTTTTTTTTTTTTTATATATTTACTGTTAAATAATTACGTCTTTAAAAACACAGCTTAATCTCATTTTTTTAATTTTCCAAATGTAATAGTTTACTACCTGTGCTGCTAAATTTGTATTTTTTTTTTTTTTTTTTAATTTTTTAAACGTTTCTTAAACTTTTTGTTTTTTCATCTTCAAAGGACCCCTCTGTAATTGGTTGATTTATAGGGCAAAACCAATAAAATGAAATGACCAATTTTTTTTTTTTTTTTATAAAATGTATTTATACGTACATATACTTTCCGTTCTGCTTTCGTTTTTTTTTTTTTTTTCAAAGATATGCAAGTTAGTGAATCTTTTGTATTGTCCTTAAATGTTTTTTTTTTTTTTTTAACTCCCAGCTTCAAAAGATAAGTAGTAATCTGCACAATTGGTTTTTTTTTTTTTTTTTTTTTGGGATACATATGAAGAAAAGTTTAAAACATGGCTCTCAGCTTTTTTTTTTTTTTTTTAAACTTTATCAGAGAATATACCATGAAGAGAGTTTTTCTTTCTCTTTTTTTTTTTTTTTTTCCCACTGTTAAATTCACTTTTGGATGCCCAGAAGCTAGCAGTAGCAATCAAACACAAGTTTTCAATAAATACTTGTTCATTTATTCAAGTTACAGAATATGAGTTTTGATAAGTTGCACCAACTTTTATTTTCATTGCTGAAAAGGCTTCAGATGACAGAGCTTTTTTTTTTTTTTTTTATTTGTGTTGGTAATTTTTTTCCTTTTTAGACAGATGATAAAGATTTTTTTTTTTTTTTTTAAGAACAGTCAATGTGGCACAATGAAAATAAATTAATCTTTTTAAATTTAGTTAATGCCATAGCTAAGACTTAGCATCTGATGAGGTGGGTCGGGGAGGGTATTTTTTTTTTTTTTTTTTTGTCTTTTTTTTTTTTCCCCTCTTAATGAAGATCTGCACATAATTTTTTTTTTTTTTTTTGTTTTTTTTAAAAAAAGCTTTTTTTTTTTTTTTTTTTTTTTAAAAGCTTTTTCTTTAGAAAAATGCTTATGCTTAAAATGTTCCCATATTTTAATTTAGCTGAAATATCATTTTTTATGAAGTAAAAATTATTTTTTTTTTTTTTTTTGCAATAGTTATTCCCATACTTTAGTCAAGAAAAATCTCATTATTTTTTTTTTTTTTTTTTGATTTGCAACCAAGACATTATTAGAAAAATTTATGTTAAAATTATTTTTTTTTTTTTTTTCACAGGGAATAATTTTTAAAATCCATCCACACGCTGAAGTCAATTAATACTGTAGTTGGCACTTTGCAAATACTTACAATTGAATCACCATGAAAACATTGTGAAAATTTTATTCCAATATTACAAATAAAAAATTGAAGATAAGAATTTAGGTAGCTTTCTCAACATAGTACACTTGGTAGATAATAGAGACAGAATTCAGATAAAAATGCACCACAAATTAATTTTTTTTTTTTTTTTAAATACGACTCTAACTTCCTTATAATGCTTCCTTTTGATTTCACCTGACTTTGCAATCACTTATTGATCTTTTATTATGTTCATAACTTGACAGTCTAGGTGTTTTTTTTTTTTTTTTTTCTTCAAAAAATGCCCCAAATTATCTAATTCAACCCAATTTTATTTATCATCCAATACTTTAAAAACATTGTTATCATACACTGGACTGGTCAAAAAAAATTCAATTTTTTTTTTTTTTTTCTTCTTTCCTTCATATATTTCTGGGTTTTCTATAATCTTGTGCCCTATTCCTAGACAAACATCCCATGTTAACTTTTAGTCTTAAGTTTTCCTTCATTAATTATTTTTTTTTTTTTTTTTTCCTTGGATACACGTCAAGAGTTGCTTTGGAGAATATCAAGTGATTTTTTTTTTTTTTTTGAGTGTGGGGACCATAAAAAACACTAGAAAGTAGAAATCCTGAGTTTTTTTTTTTTTTTTAATGTGGATGGAGAGAGTCCTTAGAAGTTATATAAACTTCTGAGTTTTTTTTTTTTTTTTAGGGGAACTCGCATACTGAGGCTCTCAAGTCTAATTTCAACTTGTTTTTTTTTTTTTTTTTCAGCCAACACTCAGTGCTTTCTGTGCATCTGTGCTTGGCTACTTTCAGTTGTCCAATTATTCATTTTGTTTCTGTATTTGTCCATGTTTTCTCCATCAGAGAGTTTTTTTTTTTTTTTTTCAGTGATTAATTTTATGAAGAAGTCCTGGTATGCTTTTGAAGCTTTTTTTTTTTTTTTTCATAATTTAACAAAGAGATCAGATGATTTTGAACAGCATTATATTTTTTTTTTTTTTTTTATACATATTTGTGGTACCTGAACAATGCTATTAAAATCAGCCCATTTTTTTTTTTTTTTTATCACAAAGTTTGTATCAAGTCTTAACTCTGTATATGAAACAATTAAATTCTATACAGAAAAAGAAAACAGGAATTAACCAAGGAAAACATAAAAATCACCTTTTTTTTTTTTTTTTTTTATGCAAGATACTTTGTTTTTATATTCACAACAGTTTAAACAACTTTTTTTTTTTTTTTTTAATACTTTCTATCCCAATATTACTCTAAAAGAAGAAAATATGTTTTTTTTTTTTTTTTTTACAGGAAGGATAATCAACATTCAGTGAAAGCTTTTATTGTCAGATAAACTTAACTGTATGAATGAAGTTAAAAATATTTATCACTACAAACGATCTAAAGTTTTTTTTTTTTTTTTTTTTACTAACATTATGTTTCCAAAGCCTAATGCACGGCATTTTTAAATTTTTTTTTTTTTTTTTCATGTAACACATTTAAAATTAAATATCTCTTTAAAACAGTAACATTTTTTTTTTTTTTTTTAATCTTATTTGAATAATAATTACTTAAGCAGATTTGTTTAACATTTTTTTTTTTTTTTTGATAACACTTTCTGAATATGAACCAATGCAGTAGATGACCAAATTTTTTTTTTTTTTTTTTCCTTGCTGCTTCCCCTCATCTCGTTTCTGATTTCTACCCACAATTCCAAAGGGCCAAACATGAGACCTCCTGGGCAAACCCTTCTCTGGTTTTTATTCAAGCCTTTTTTTTTTTTTTTTTTTAGTAGCAAGTTTTCTTAGCAGGTGATAAGGTAGTCTACTCATTTTTTTTTTTTTTTTTATGCAAAATCTAGTCATGTTTCTGTGACCAACAGAAGTGCTTTTTTTTTTTTTTTTTTTCAATGCTCACTTAGGAATGAGTTCAGATGTGGATCTTATTCTCAGTCATTAATCTAGATTATATTTAAACTGAAGTTCTGTAGAGATGAATGTGTCTTCACAAATTTTTTTTTTTTTTTTTTATAACTAGAAGTGATGTTACTATTCTTGGGACAGGGTTAGTAGTAACCCAATAATAAATGTTCTTCCTCTCCCATTGTAAGAATCAGATCACTTCTGCACTATTTTTTTTTTTTTTTTACATTCATTATGGAAGATGCTATATGAACATTTGGATATCTGAGTTTTTTTTTTTTTTTTTAACACATATTATGCCGCTTTTGTAAAAAATCCCAACTAGATTTTTTTTTTTTTTTTTTTCAACTTTGCAAAAGCTTAACTTTTACTTAACTCTACAATCTTATTTTTTTTTTTTTTTTTTTTCTACTGCCTTTTAATTAAGAAATAAGTTTTTTTCTGATTATTTTTTTTTTTTTTTTTAATAGAAGGTTTTATAGAATATACTGGCAGATACTGTATGTATTTTTTTTTTTTTTTTTTTAGTTTTTACATTTTTAAAATCATTTCACATGACATATTTCAGTTTAAAGGATGGGGCCAGATCTTAACATAAACATGCGATATGTTAGAAGCAGATGTATAAGTTTTTTTTTTTTTTTTGCAAAATAAATTTTCTTTATAACCAAATGGCAACATCTGATTGTACATCTTGGAATTCATTGCAGGTAAATGAGCGTGATCGTCTCCTAAGATTTGTTGGTCTCTTTTTTTTTTTTTTTTTCAAGTCTAAATAGATGTCAGATTTCAGAAAACGTGTATAACTGTTTTTTTTTTTTTTTTGATACACTCTGCTTTGTGCAGCATCAAAACTGTGGAGGGTAGGTTTTTTTTTTTTTTTTTTAATGACTTCTTTGGCGTGAAAATCAAGGTTAACCTGGATAAACTTTTTTTTTTTTTTTTTTATAGTTAATATGCTTATATAAACAACTTTGAGAAACAGTACATTTTTTTTTTTTTTTTGGAGTGGGCATAGTGGACTTAGAAGCTGATATAGTTTGGATGTGTGTAGCCTGCCCAAACCTCAGGTTTAATTGTAATCCGCAGCATTGGAGGTGGAGCCTGGTTTTTTTTTTTTTTTTTATGGGAGTGGATTTCTCATGAATGGTTCAGAACCATCCCCTTAGTTTTTTTTTTTTTTTTGTGAGTGGTTTCTTGCAAGATCTGGCTGTTTAAAAGTATGTGGCACCTCACTCTCTCTCTCTTTTGCTCCTGCTCCTGAAATGTGAGATAACTGCCCCTCCTCTTTTTTTTTTTTTTTTTGGAAGCTTCCTGAGGTCTTCTCAGAAGCAGATGCTGTTAGGCTTTTTTTTTTTTTTTTTTAACTATGAACCAGTTAAAGTTATTTTCTTATAAATTACCTAGTCTTTTTTTTTTTTTTTTTTTTTTAGCATATACCAAAAACTTTATTCTTTCTGTGGCTGAATTTTTTTTTTTTTTTTTATACAGCATTTCATTTATCCATTTATTTGTTGCTAAACAATTGGTTTTTTTTTTTTTTTTGGTTATTGTGAACAATGCTGTTGTGAACACTGGTGTTTATTACATTTTTTTTTTTTTTTTATATAGATGCTTGGGTGTTTTCCTCTATTCTTGACTAGCATTTCTTTTTTTTTTTTTTTTCTGGAATTCCTGGTCCTTCTTACTCTCTACGAATTTAGAATAATTTTTTTTTTTTTTTTTAAAGATCATTTAAATAATTAAAGCATAACTCATTTTCAAAACAGTTTTTTTTTTTTTTTTGAGGTTAAATTATTTGAGTCATGGGAAAAAATGAGCTGGGGCATATTTGAGATTTTAATATGGGACTTCTACTTATTCCAGTGCTTATTTCATTACATTATCATTTTTTTTTTTTTTTTTACATATGCTGCAGTATGAATGTCTTTTAAAGATATAAAATTCTTTTTTTTTTTTTTTTTTAGCACTGCATATATATCTGGTTCTGATGGTGGTAGGTTTTCAGGTTTTTTTTTTTTTTTTCCTTCTCCATAACACAATGCAACTAGTTGCCTTTTTAAAAAAACAAAAACAAACAAACAAACAAAAAAACGATGTAAAACATTGGTTTTGGGAGAATCACTATTTATAAAACATATATTAGAAACTTTGAAACTCTAATTAATATTTGAGTGCAGTCAAGTCATATTTGCTAGTCTTATAACCATTTTAGCAATTGTTTCACACAATTACTTCACACTGAGTTTGGAGTAAAAGAAAATCTCAATTGTTTTCCACTTGAAAACTTGCCTAGTTAGGTTTGCCTCTTTTTTTTTTTTTTTTATTTTTCTTTTAACCTGTCTTTAAAGTAGCCCTAAAGCAAACAATTTTTTTTTTTTTTTTATGAGCCAAAATTAAAATGGCACATGATACAAACTTCTTGATGTTTTTTTTTTTTTTTTTTTATAGAAATCTTTAGTTTCTATGAGAGGTTGCTTGTGCTAAAGTGATTGATTAAGTGAATGAATCTAAATGTTTCAATTACTCATATTCACTCTTAGCCTAGATTTTTTTTTTTTTTTTGAAGTGACTTTAATTGTACTTTTTCTTCTATGATAGTATTTTACTTTTTTTTTTTTTTTTATGGATAAATCTGTATAAATATCTTCACTCCAGCAACATCATGATTTTTTTTTTTTTTTTTATGAGGGTACAAATTTGATAAAGGCAGATTACCTAAAAAATTTAGCTCTGAATAGACATTCCTCAAAAAAGACATAAAGTGCCATTTTGGACAAAATGTTCAATTTTTTTTTTTTTTTTGGATATGCAAGTGGAAACCGTAATGAGATATCAACTCACTTCAGTTTTTTTTTTTTTTTTTGAAAAAGACAAAAAATAACAAATGTTGGTGAGGATGTGGAGAATTTTTTTTTTTTTTTTTGGTGCACTGGTGGCAGGCATGTAAGGTAGTTCAGCCATTATAGAAAATAGTATAAGTATTCTTCAAAAATTAAAAATAAAACTATCATATGATCCAGCCATTCTTTTTTTTTTTTTTTTTCTAAAGGAATTGAAATCAGCATGTTAAAAAGATATCTACACTCCCATGTTTATTGCAGCACTATTCACAGTATACAAGAGATGGAATCAACCTACATGTCCATCAAAGGATGAATGTATAAAGAAAATGTGGTACATAGGGGACACTATTGAGGTATTAAAAAAAAATAAAGAAACTCAGTCATCTGTGGCAACGTGAGTGAACCTGGAGGACATTATATTAATTTTTTTTTTTTTTTTACACAAAAATAAGTACCACATGATCTGACCTGTATGTAGAATCTTTTTTTTTTTTTTTTTTAGAAGTAGAGAGCAGAATAGTGGTTACCAAGGGCTAGGTAAGGTAGGAAGGATGGGAGGATGAAGAAAGGATGAATCAACAGGTACAGAGATAGATAGGAAGAATAAGTTCTGGTGTTACATTACCTAATAGGTGATTATGGTGAGTAATAATACATGGTATATTTTTTTTTTTTTTTTAAAAAACATACTGAATATTATCACCACAAAGAAATGATAAATGTTTAATTTGATGAACATGCTGTCTGATTTTATCATTATACAATGCAGTATATATATTAAAACATGACAATGTATTCCATTAACATGTATAATTATTACATGTCAATTATAAATAAAATTAATAAAAATAAGTTGGGAAAAATATAATTCACAATTTTAAAATAAAATTATTAAAAAATTTTTTTTTTTTTTTTTTTTTTTTACAGTTATCTTTACTGTACCTCTTTTGGAGCATCAGTCTTTTTTTTTTTTTTTTTTATTGCTTTTGCTTTAAGGTGAATTTGTTGAGGTCCTTTGCTTTTTTTTTTTTTTTTTTTTGCTATCCAAAATTCAATATTTTCCTCACTGAATTCAGTTTTAAGAAATCTGGTAAAAGCCTCTAGTCCATCTATCAAGAGAAAATAATATAACTACAAAATATTTTTTTTTTTTTTTTTTTTTACTGATTGATAATAAATAAAACGTAGTTGGAAATATTAACATTTTTTTTTTTTTTTTCCTCTAATGCAGCACCGCAGCACACATCTTGCACAATACACATGTTTTTTTTTTTTTTTTTTTCACAACCATAAAAGGAAAGTATTATTCCCACTGAAATAAGGTTTTTTTTTTTTTTTTGCTTAAGTTTGACTTTAGGACTAAGATTAAGAGGGACCCCCTACTTTTTTTTTTTTTTTTTGTTTCTTTTATCCATTCCCCTCCCAGAGTGTGAGGGGTGATTGCACAGAGTCAAGAAGCCATTACAGTTGGAACGGATCCTACCTACTTCTACACCATGCCTTTTTTTTTTTTTTTTTTGAGACTCCCTGACTAAAAGCTCTATGCTTCCAGCATTTACACAGCCTTTTCTCCAAGTCCATCTACCAAAAACACACTGACTCACTGGTAGGTATACCCTTAGGTTTTTTTTTTTTTTTTCAATTTGTAGGCTGGAGTGTGTACTCAAATGTGCGAAGAGTTGCTTTTTTTTTTTTTTTTAACCATGGGGGGAAAGAAAAAGGTGCTAGGTCATGTTTACAGAGTTTTTTTTTTTTTTTTCTGAAAATTTTAAATTCAAACATCATCTTCCAAGTGGCTTACAATTTTTTTTTTTTTTTTCAGAAGGATAACATATATATTTATTTTAAAGTTATTAGTTTCCATAGCTCATAAACATTTAGACATACAGCATGGGACCTCTTTTTCACATTTTGTCTTGCCCCTTTTTTTTTTTTTTTTGCTATCAAGTCTTGTGGAAGACAGTCTGGGCTCAAATTAGTGTTTTTTTTTTTTTTTTTTGGCCCTTAGCGTATTACCTTTTCTTTCTGTGTCTTAGTTTTTCATTTTTTTTTTTTTTTTTTATTTATTTATTTATTTATTTATTTTTTCAGGCGGAGTCTCCCTTTTTTTTTTTTTTTTGAGTGCAGTGGCCGGATCTCAGCTCACTGCAAGCTCCGCCTCCCTTTTTTTTTTTTTTTTCCTGCCTCAGCCTCCCCAGTAGCTGGGACTACAGGCGCCCGCCATTTTTTTTTTTTTTTTTTTTGTATTTTTTAGTAGAGATAGGGTTTCACCGGGTTAGCCAGTTTTTTTTTTTTTTTTTGATCTCGTTATCCACCCCTTTCGGCCTCCCAAAGTGCTGGGATTACAGGCTTGAGCCACCGCCCCCGGCCTAGTTTTTCAATATTTAAAATTAAGATAATAATTTTTTTTTTTTTTTTTGGCTGTTGAGAAAATTAAATGTGTTAAAATACACAAGGTGTTTGAAACAGTAAGTGGGACATATTAAGAACTCCATATGGGCTCTAATGGGTGGCTGTGATGATTTTTTTTTTTTTTTTTATTTTTATTTAAGGCTCACGAATATGACATTTACATAACTAAAATTTTTTTTTTTTTTTTATTCAACCTTAAGACAATGTGACTTCGAAACTAGGGTTCTTTCATTTTTTTTTTTTTTTTACTCTACCTATTTTTAAGCCTTTTAAAAGTTAAACTTTTTTATTTTTTTTTTTTTTTTTTTTTACATGAATTCGTAGGAAGTAATGAGAGAGACCCCCATGTACTTTTTTTTTTTTTTTTACCAATGTAACAACTTGGAAAACTACAGTGAAATATCACAGCTATTTTTTTTTTTTTTTTTAATATAATCAAACTACAGAAAGTTACAAGTATAACTCATGTTGTTTTTTTTTTTTTTTTCTTACATCTCCCCACATATAACTCTTTTTAACCCCAGGTAACCATTTTTTTTTTTTTTTTTGCTATAATTTTGTCAACTCAAGGATGTTATATAAATTAAATCATTTTTTTTTTTTTTTTTTAGATGTTTCTATTTTCCACACAGCATGATTCTGTGGAGATTTTTTTTTTTTTTTTTTTGTATCAATGGTTTGTTTCTCTTTGTTACTGTATTATATTCCATGTTTTTTTTTTTTTTTTATATGTTTAACCATTCTGCCATTGAAGGAAACATGGGTTATTTCTTTTTTTTTTTTTTTTCTGAGTTGTCCCTGGACTTCGTGGAGTTTTCAAATTTTAAAAACAGTGTATTAAAATTTTGCTTGCCAAGCATCGAAACAACATATATTGATCCATCTGTTCATTGTCATCAAAGCATATAGTATATTACACCTTACACATCTAATTACTCGCGCCAACTTCATCTCAAGTGTATTAATTTACACTCACTATTTTCTGAGTCCATGACTATATCAACCTCAACCAGGACAAATGATACAAAATCTTTGTCAGCACTCTGTTTGAAATATTTCTCATTCTATTGCATTCAACGGTTACTAGCTCCTGAATGTCCCATATCTCTTTCATAACTCATACTCGATACCAGGATTTCTGATATTGTTACATCTTACTGAGCATAACCCACTTCACAACACAGTAAAATATTTCCTAGACTGCTCATTCATCTATGTTTCTCATTAATTATACACGTGAACATGTTATCTTATAGCTCCGTTATCATAATGGATTAAATCTCCAATTTCCCGCCCTATTTTACAATATCAGTATAAAATCTATATTATTTTATATGAATTCTAAATCCATACAACAACAAATAAATACAATTTGGATGTAAATTATATTACATTCATTACTTATTTCTCATGTTGGGTACTGGAAATTGGTGAACAAGGGTCACCAAATTAGACAAGGGTCTTCATCTTATGTATGTTACAGTGTAGCCTGGAAACAAAAGTTAACAGGTCACTGCAGTACAATATTTTAAGTTTACTCAGCACAGAAAAGGCCATATATGAAGGACACCCAACTCTTCTTTAGAGACTGGTGAAGTCTTTCTAGACAAGATGAAATGTAATTTCCCAATCAATGAATAGCTGTATGGATTAGATTAATAACAATTGCTTTATGGGATTTAGAATAGGAAGGGAAAAGTATTTCCAACAGGAGCTAAAACTAAGAAATTCAGGAACATGGCACATGAATGGAACTATACATGTTTCTCTGTGAGTGGAGCTTAAATCAGTGTAAAAACATGGTAGGAAGAGATGAACGCTATTGGGACATTTTAAACGGTAGGAAGATCATAATAAAACTTGTACTGCAGAAAGATATTGCTGACTAGAATGTGGATAATACACTTGGAGATTGGAGGAAGAGACAAGGAAAACCTCAATTCAGGGATCACTAGTTAGGAGGTTTTTATAATAATTAAGTGTGAGAGACAGTTCCCGTCTAAATAAAAGTAATCACAGATCGCCCACAAAAATAAAAAGACAGACGTTGGATATATGAAAGGGGAAATTTTACAAGATTTGATTATCAGCTATGTGTGAGATAAGAGGGAAATTAAAATTATCCCTGAGAATAAATGCCAGGGTTCCCGTTTATATCCTTGAGTGGACAGAGTCATTAAATGGGAAATGTATGCAGGGAAGGTTTGGGGTAAAGATGATAAATGCACCATTCATATGACTAATTCAATGGCCAATTCAATGATGTTTCTCACCTGTTGGTTGATATGAACTTGGAGCTCAGGAAAAAGAGGCTTGAGATAAGTTCTAAGAATCATCTGCATATTGATTGGTATTTGGGTGTTGAAGTAATTTTTCAGAAATGAGTTTAAGGGAAAGATGAAGAAGGATAAACTGAGAAGGATTTGGGGATGCAATAGTCAGAGGTGTAATAGGAAACTTGGAGTTTAGCTGCCATTGAAGAGAATTACAGGCAATTCTCTACCGTGCCTGCTGTTGTGGAGAGATGAAATAACATATGGACTGAAAACAAAATGTTCACTAACTATAACATTAAGTCAATTTTGGCAAAAATAATTTGAGTAAAGTGTTGAATAGAAACCACATTTTTGTGTGTTGGAAAGTAATGAGATAGAGGGATTAAGGGACGAAGTGTAAAACTTAATCAAAGATTTTATATTTTGTAAGGAGAAAAGATATGTTAGTAGCTAGAGGAAAATTTGAAGTTAAGATTTTTTAAAAAAATTTCTTGTAAGAAGATTAAAATATTTTAATGATATCACATGTAAAAGAAAAACTTTATTGTTTTTCAGAATTGTTTCTAATGCCTCATTTTGTCTGTAGGTGTTAACAATATGCATAAAGTACAGTTGGATGTCAAGAAAAAAGGAGTTCAGGAAAATGTCAAGAGAGAAGATGGGCAAATAGGGAAGATAAAGGAAAGAAGAAGGAAAAGGAGAATGTAAAGGACAGAATTTTTAGCAAATAGCACATTTAATGGAGAAAGAGGGAGTTAAACCTAAACAGACAACACATAAAGAAAACGACCAACCGTATGAACCAGGAGATATGGCATCCTACAGTCCTATGTGGAAGAGTATTTGCAAAAGGGCAGGGGACAGTACTATCAGATGCTACCAAGTGGGAAGTCCAGATGGGACTCATGATATTTCCTTATGCAATAACTTACATAAGCAGAGCAGAAAGAGAATGGGCATAACTAGAGAGTGAGAGTGAATCTAAGAAAGATTGCTAAAACTCATTTAAATCCAACTCAAATGTGATTTATTCTGAGAAAGTTTATCTGAAAAATCCATTAGGAACATATTTCCCTTCCTCAACATTTTCTATGGTGCAGCTACCAAACACCCAAGCAATTTCACTCCTTGGAATTTATTCCAGATAAATAAAGACTTGTGTACATTTTTTAAAACTATACATAAATGTTCATAGCAGATTTTTTTGTAAATAACTAAAAAAAAAAAAAAAAA